AAAAAAAAAAAAAAACAAGGTTCAAACAAAATGGAATTCAAAGCATCCATTAAGTAATTTAGGAATGCACAGTCAATAATGATATTTGCAAAATGATGGTGAGATATCAAAACTTTGCAAAATGTACAACAAATAATGATAAGTTGAATCATTCTGATAAGAAATAAATATGAAACTGTAGTACTGAACACTAAATGCTGTCTTGCCAGGCTAATAGGCAACAACTGTCAACCTTCGTCTCTGAAAACTTTGCAAATTCAGAAAACAGTAGAAGCAGAAGTGAACCGTTTCTTTTTTTATCTTGCATACAGTTTAAAAAGTTCGATATCTTCAAAGCTCCAAATTTTTTTTTATGCCCAACAAGTTATTTGCGGAACTGTCGTTATCATGAGGAAGAATTTCGATGACATCAAAATACTGGATTCATAACCGTTAATTAACCATCATAACAGAAAGCATCAAAAGTATGCAATCAATTAAGCGTAAAATATTTTAAAGATTATAGCCCGTTGAGTATTTACTAAACTTTCATGCAGATAGTTGTTCATACTTTTGATAACATCGTTACCATCCGTTAATTCTAAACAAGAACCATCGTACTTCAGATTAACCACACAGTGTCTCGTTTATCGCTTTCTTCATGTTACATGCTTACTTCTTCACTGTACAAATCTAAGTAATCTAGTTCTTAGCCGCTTTGCAGTTCCCTCCAAATATCCCGAGACCACAATTCCTACTCATAAAAAAATTGGGAAGAATTTCCCTCGCTAAACCATTCCTTAACATTGAGTATTATACTAATCGCAAATCCAAAAATAAATCTTGTTCACAGCATTTGCGAAGCTCAAATCTTCCTGCCTTTTTCTTTTATCCTGAGAAATTCAGGTAATTAGAAGAACAAATGACGGAGTCATAAATATCCTCACCAATACTAATACTATCTGTTTTGAAAATCTAATTAAAAAAAAAACTTTTTTTGATCCTTAACAAGCCAAATATCTTGCGATTGAGCACTAACCGTGCCACGGAATAACTGAATGAAGTTTAGATGACCAAAACAGGGTCTAAAGCCATAAAACAAAGTCACACAAACATAAATGAAAATGTGCCAACACCACTCCTCGACAGTTCAGGTACGGCTTCAGAAATAAATCAGAATCTGTTTAAATGCACTGCAAAACGAAAAAGTTGTGTTATA